CAAATGCATTGGTGTTTAGTATGAAGAAGATTAATCTTAGTATCAGCAAGGGAATGCCGTACAGAAGAGTTATCAATAAATTTCTGTTTAGTTCCTAAGCTGCATCTGATGTAGGAAGCGTTGAAAAGGTGTCATGGTGAACCAAAATAGTATATAAAATGTTTCTTTGTCAATTTTTATGGAGTGATGGATGTATTTTTTCACTTTTTTCTTTATGTTTTAAAAATCAAAAGTTTTGAAGATGATACTCAACATTGTTTTATTAAGTCACGTTGTCACTTACTCGAGGACTTGCCTTCTAAAGTAAAGTGATTTATTGAATGAATTAACGGTGATTCATGAAAAAGACTGCAAAAACTCCAAACCTGAAAAAACTCGCTAACCATTTCGGTTGCGGTGAAGGATGCAGAACACATAGCCAACGTGCTGTTTCCAGTATATTCTTTTGATATATGCAGATGTATTCATTATTTGTGGCGAGCAGTGACCTGAAATTTAAAACAATAAATTTCACTAGTAAGAAACAGAAAGTTTCAACTTGGATCAAATTTCAGCAAAATTTTGTATATTTTGAAATTTCAACAATGCAAAATTTTGGTATCATCGAATAAGTTTGAAAACGTACATGAAATTATAAGCTATTTGAAAAGAACAAAATTTTAAATTTTGAATAGTCAACAAACTTACACTTACTTCAAAAAAAATTTATTTTGAACCTTGTAAAACTTTTAAAGTTTCAAAATGAGCGAGAAGAAAGAGCTTATAAACTTGGATGTGATAAACTTATTTGATATTTTAACTTTCAATATGAAACTGCGAGAATTATAGATTGAGTGCAATATAATTGACCTTAATGGGTCGTGGTAGATCCCATCTCTGATTGAACGAGCAGTTGAGATGTCTCTTTTGATGTCGCCATCAAATTACGCACGAATTTTATTCTTTTTATGACTCTAAATGGGGTCAAGTACTGAAAACCTTCTCCTGGATAGCTGTGACTTGTGACTTCAAATTTTTAAATTAACAAACTTTAGGACGTATGCCACTACTTTTTCTAACTTGAACCAATAAGAATAATCTGATATCTTGAGTGAAAAAGATTCTTCAGTTTTCAGGCAAACCCTTTACCATCACTCTTCTAAGTGAAATAGGACTCGCCTTTCTTACTATAACTCATCTCTTAGGGTCAGAAATATTTGGCTAACGTTGACCGATGTGATCTATGCCACCAAGCTTGATCCTGTTTTAACTCTCGAGGCGAACAACTCTTTGTTACCAAAACTAGCAACGTTTTCTTCGTGATGAAACAACGTAATATATTAGACCTTTAATGCCTCAGCTTGCTTCATTTCCCTTACCCAGTTGACCACAGATACTGATAGTACACGGTATATCTTGATCGGTAAAAAACTTATTTTTAACCAGATCGTATTGTCCTAACCGTTACCAGCAGATGCAGTTCACGTTCAAACATGCAACACGGCTTACAAGTTAATCAGTAATGCTGCAAGCAATTCTAATCCAGGTTTTGTCATATCTTTAATTGGACATAATGGTTTCTACTGTACACTAATTCTGCATGATACCTTTCATTTCACACTTCAAATAAACTACGGCAGAATAAACCTCAGGTGCATCTTCCGATACATCAAGTTTATACAGAGCTGTCTTCTCTTTATCAGTTATTTTTCTTTCTGCTGGCAACGTTTCTGCTTCATTTTAATTCATTAGGATATTCTTCCATTCCTTTTTCACTTCCTAAGCTAGCCCATGATTCTGTGAGAGGACTCTCTTTATAATGCCCTAAATAAAATCTTTGTCTTTAAATTCACTGAAAGGGCTGAACTCAGAAAATCTAGGTTTTTGTCAAATATGCCAGTATTGTCTGTTTTTTTACCAACTCATTAACATGAATAACTTTAGAGAACTTAATTTGGAATATCTGCAGCCCAAATCTTTTTTTGTTTCAGTAATTGTAATTGTAATTATAGTTATAAGTGTGATTACAATTATGATTACGACTGTAATTGTAAATATGATTGCAATTATAATTTTTTATCTTTTTTTCTTTTTTATCTCGTATGCGATTTGGTACTTAGCCACGCTAAGTTTATTGCTGTGATCCAAAAGGAAAACACACTTAGAAGCTTAAAGTATTTCTAGTGATACTGTTAGACAAAGAAAATTTGAATCTAAAATTTATATTGCTAATGAAAAGTTTTTTTAAAGTAATCTTCAACTGTTACTGCATCTGAAAACGAGTGTTATTAACAAGATAGTAGTAATCTGACTATTTATTACTTTACATCAAGCTTTTACCAGGTAACGGCTTTTATTCTACTGCAATTTCGTCCAAATTGGGTAAAAATAAAATAAAAAAAAATGCAGAATCTAGGAATTCTTTAGTATCATGATTTGAACGGTAATACTTATTTCAGTCAATAATCACTCACTTTTTAGAGTTACAATAATCTCTAAATTACTGTTATATTGACAATACTGGCAGTCTTCAGTTTACTTCCGTTGCTGCGGTTTGATAACTCGTTAGCCTTGGAAACTGTTTAGTTTGACGATTATTCATTTAACAACATGCTCTACCATTTTTTAATCTAAAAAAAATACCTCTTCTGTAAAGTAGTGCAGTTTTTTTTAACATTTGATGCAGATATTCATGCTAGAGTCTTTGTTTTATTCGTTTAAGTCTCTCCTGATTGCCTGCTTCTTATTCGACTTTTATATTATCTGTTATATTCCGTTAAGATTTTTTCATTTGACAAGTCTTGTATTATCTGATTAATTTTTAACTATGACTTGTTTTTCAGTTACAATGGGTTTACTGCTCATCTGTTAGAGTAAAAAAACCCTATATTTATTATTGTGCTTGTCAGTCCTGATAGAACTTGACCGCTTAATAGCTGTATTTGTCTTCAAGAAGTCTTTTGTGGTTCAATTCATGTATCTTTCATCCTTATTTTTAAATAATAATCTTTGGTTAGAGCAATGGATCGAAGAGATCAATACTGGCGTCTTTGGATTAAGTGGAAACAAACTGTCCGAATTTTTGTTTAAGCTGTTTACTACAAAATAAACCTTTATATATTCTTTCAGCATTATTCATTAGATTCTTTTTTTAAGTTCTAATGTCATTAACATTTACTTTTCGCAGCTCTGCTTTGTTAATACTTATTAAAATGTTCATCATAATTGCTGAGTTTTCACTAACACGGCTTCAGCTGTTTATTTATTTATTTACTTTTTGTAAACATTTCTTGCCTTGTCACTTGATTGGTGTGCAAATTATTTGTTTCTAAATTTTCCCTCTACTTTCATCGCATAACTTGTATTTACATGGGTGTTCTAAACCACGTGTTTAAACATTTCACTATTCAAATGACCAAGAAGTAAGCGATTCTGAAATAAACAGATAAAGTTGTTTTCACATTATCGCACTGCTTTCTTGTTATGGTTCAGGAAGTACAAGTCATTCGCTCAGACGAACGATAGCGAGTGAAATGGTTCACTGAATTACGTCTGAGTTTCTGCTTTTAGAGTGGGCGGACAATTTCAAACACATTTCTGTGAAACAGACCGAATTAACACCAACTTAACTTATATAAATGATTCTTTTTAATTATTTAATTCATTATAAAGAATTCTTCACATAAATAAATAAAAAATCATTACACAGAATTAGACGTTTCTTTCTTCTGGTTTTCGAAACCTTCAACAGACGTTTGAAAGGTATTTCTATGTACCTTAGAAAATTTGTTTATGGTTTTAAAACAGTGAAACTTTATTCTTTTCAACAAATAAAGTTGACTGTTTGAAGTATTCCTTTTTAACAAATTTCGTGGTGTGATATTTTTTCTTTTGGTTTCTACACAACATTGCCGCGTTTCAAAAAACTTTGTTTTGCCAATTTTACTACTGGTGGTTCTTTATAAATAAGTGTCTTGACAGAAATAATGGGTGTTTTTGGAAAGCACGACATAGAATACAATTGTTGTATTATGCTTTTCTCAATAAAAAAACCTCACAAAACTGCGTTAAACGTTTGGGAGGGTTAGTTTTGCAATTGGTGTGAGCGAAGTTTGAACCCGCTTGTGTAAAGAGGAACAAATTATTACAGGTGTATAAAACAAATAGAAGGGAAGACTGAAGTGTAACCCTGATAATCTGGAAGTAGTCTGCTGGTATTCAGAGGAGCGCGGATCCGCTGCAGTCCAACACTGATGTATTCACTGCAGGAAGGCTACTAAACAATTCAAATTCCGCTAGTTTTACATGCTCCTTCCGAAAGCGGGATTCTCCAGTTGGTTGACCAGTTTTCAACCAGTAATTCACAATTTTTTCTAGGCACTGCCACCAGTTATGCGTAATTCACGATATATAATTTTAAAAATACATTTATTTAGATGCCCTTTGGAATCTTATGGTTCAAATGGCCTACTCGCTTTAATTTAAATACCAATTTTTGTGGTTTCTCGAATGCAGTTAATTGAAAAGTTCTAGTAAAGGAACATTATAGGTTAAAAAACCAACAACAGTATCTTTAAAGTATTTGAATTTCAAACTTGAAGAATGCTAGCAATTTTATTTCTGTTGTTATTGTTCCAACATCAAACAAAACACGTGAATATTAACCGCTCCTAAATAAATTTTTGTTGTAAAGTGTGCTGGTTTACCTACTCTGCTCTCATCATATCCTTTTTTCTCTCGACTTCTCACCATTGCTATGAAAGAAGGTGTCCGTAAAATAGTTGACAATATGAGAGAGCTATAAGCACTTTACTGTCCAATGAAAACAAAAAATTCATCGTTTATAGTTTGTCCTAAAGTTGATTTTTCGTTTCACAGCCTATCTGACTGTATCGTTTGCTGATGCAGCTAATGCTGTAATGAGTAACGCTTTCGTTTTGAACGCCAGCGAAATTTTCCAATAGTGCATTGATGCCAATCTGTAGCAGTAAGGCGTCGCTGAAGTAACATTGGTTGTTGTTATGGCTGAACCAAATTCTACATATCAAACGTACTCCAGCAAGGTTTGAATTTTTTTCTTCGCTTTTTATTTAAACTGTTACTGTTCGTAAAGTGATAAATTTGTAGTCAGTTTTACAAACAGTTTACTTTTTTATACTGTTACCTCGAGTCGCGCACTCTTGTTACAAAACAAGAGAAAAGAAAGGGAAGCTCGTTTTTTACACTACAATCAAAACAGATCATTAATTAGTTGCTCATGTAAGTTCAGTAGAAATTTTTAAAGTTGAAATATTGATTTGAAATTGTTGTTAACGTTTTTCATATTCTCACAGCAGTTGGTTGTGGGACTCTACAAAATAGCTGGATTTCGATACTCTGCAGTGTGAAAAAATCAAAAGATTTTTTTTTGTTGCTTCTCACGACTTAGATAATCTGATTATTTTAGCGGTCTTTCGTTTGAGAAGAGCAGTTGGTTACCATAACTTGTTTTCTTTCATGCTTATTGGTTAACGTTTTTTTCAAAAAATTAAATTGGAACTGAAGTCTTTTTAAAGTCTGTTTGGCTGTAGTTGATCCGTGCCTTACTTTTTTAAAAACTGTTCATCAATTTTAACTCGACAAATCTAAACCGTGGAAAAATGATTTGAAGAAGAATTTGACAGCTACTTGGTTACTAACTTTGTGAAACGACAAATCGTGTATATAGTCATGACAATGGAAATTGTTGCCGATGGTTTAGGTTGGTTTATTGTTTATATTCAATATAATTGTTGGTACCGGAGCTCTTGCGCTACCGAAATCGTTTCAAGTGGCTGGATATGGTGCGAGTGTTATACTTATACATATATCTTGTCTTGCGAGGTGTGTTTTTTAGTGTACAGATCTTCTTCTTTTATTTGAACAGACATTTTAATATTAGATATTTTTTCTGTCTTACTATTTAAAGCTTTATATGTGCCACTTTTATTGTTGAAAGCATGGCAGTGGCTAATGCTGCGATTCTGCGGAAAAAACGTCGTGGCTGCGAGGTTGAAGAAGACGCTGATTTTTCCGAGGTTTATTCAATTAAACAGAGAACCGAAATCGTAAGTTTTTCTGCCTGTTTAGTATATGCAATTAAGTCGTAGTCACTTTTGTTAGCAAGATAACTCAATTGATAAAATCAACTTCTTCTAAAATTATGCTGATTATACTTCAGAGTGAAATGGCAAAGTTGTTTCTTAATCATACAGGGCTGGTGTTCTCTTATCTAATCCTTGCCCTTTATCTGTTTGGAGATCTCACTATTTATTGCACCACTGTTTCCAAATCTATCATGAATATTGTTTGGTATTTATTTCTTATTTTATTCCTTATTTTCAAACGCAGGGAACTCTCGTAGAACGGGCCGGTGAACTCATCTAATTTTGGTAAGGTGGAGTAACAGCCGGCAGGAGTAGTTCAAAGACAGCTATTTAAAAAGCTTTTTTCTTGTTGTACATAAAGTAATTTTTGTTTAGTGACTCTGTAACTGGGAACTTCACTGAAAATGATCCATGTTGGCGGAAAAATGCGATTAATTTTAACCGTAACAACGCTTATAGAATGGCTATACTTTTATTTACCACGATAATAACTCCTATGGTATTAATGGGAATAACGCGTACCAAATACTTGCAAATTTCAACTAGTCTAAGTAGATGGGCAGGTATTTCCAAAGTGCTATTTTCATGGTTTGATCATAAAGCTGCTCAGAACAACCTCATTTAGCCCGCAGTAAAATTTGTTCAAGTCACTGGCGTTGAAAAAAGCTTCATGATTTGATCTCTATGAGGGATGACTTTATGAGCAAAGTAACTTTGTATTTTTTCCTTCTTTGCTCAGCGTCTGAACTGCCGTACTGACGTGGATTTTTTTCCAGCGTTTGTTCTCATGATTATGCTGGCTGTAATTTCGCTTTTTAAAGATGGTGTCGAGGCATCGCCTCATTTTTTTGAAATCAATGGCTTTGGATCTCTCTTTGGTACAACAGTATATGCATTTATGTGCCATCACAGTCTACCAGGAATTGTAACACCAATGAGGTGGAAAATACTGTTTTTACTGTAAAATGCAATTTCGAGAATAATAGTTAATAATTTCAGGCAGAAGCGTAATGTTATAGCCGGCATTGGAGTCGTTTATATCATTATACTTCTTTTTTACATTACGTTATCGCTGACGGGTTCTTATGCTTTTCGAAAGGTTTTTGATGTGTACACACTGAATTTCCTTCATGACGAGGATGCACAGTCGTTGTTATACAAAATTCTGCATTACTTTTTGGCCCTTTTTCCGGTGTTCACGCTCTCCAGCAATTATCCAATTGTTGCTAACACTCTTGCAAATAACCTTTATGTATTATTTGAATCCCTTTTGCCAAGGTGATTGAGGTATTGTCAGTTAATGAGAAAGACAGCTGTTAGACTACTCCAAAGTTGTCTTACAGAAAACTGATTTTTCAAACGAGTACTTTTGCTTTTGCCTTTCAGATATGCAGTAAAGTGCTCAGTGCACTGAAGTAATGGTAGAATTTACTCTGCTATTTACTGGAGCTCTTTTGCTTAAATTTCAGTCCCGTTAGCGAAGAACGACAAAGTCTTCTAAGTTCTGCAGTTGACAGTGAATTATCGCCGCCGTCACCACTGATTGAAAGACGCAAGAAGTTTACAAGAGGGTGCTGTATCTTTTCTGTGATTGCCATTCCAGCCTGCATCAGCTTCTTTACTGACAATGTTCTGCTTCTGGCTTCTCTAACTGGAAGTTATCCCGGCGTTGGAGTGCAGTATCTGATTCCTTCTGTACTTGCTGTGTACGCGAGACGGTTTGTTTTTTAGTATCGGTTAGAGAGTAACTTGAAGAGTTGTCCATAATTGCTTGCGACGAGTAGGTTAGGGTATTTTTTGCAGATATAACAGAAGGGAATTTGGCACTCCTGTACCAGCGGAGTCATCTAGCCCATTTAAATCAATGTTTTGGCCATATGCAATGTTTGCTTGGTCAGCGCTCGCTATTGGCATGGTCACTGCCAATTTTTTAAGACTCATTTGAACTCGCTAAAAATTTTTGTCAAGTTTCTATTCACCAAATGCTCCTCACAGGGTAAAACTGCTTTAACGTGAAACGGATACATGTGGTACGACCCATCTCTGTGATCTGTTTCCCCGCTTAGTTATTTTATTATGATTATTGTCTACGATGTGTAGTCAAGTTGCTTTTTTTAGAAACTAGTTATTCTCCCTCAAAGTACCTCAAACTACATCTTGTCAAACTTTCAACTTTATACAACTTTTCTGTGTTTCGCCGACAAGGCACTACATCTTCAAATTACAAAATTCCTTTTGATGTCGTAATTGTGCTGTAATTGATATTTTTCGTTGAAGAATCCAGCAACAGTCATATGTTCTAATATTTGTTTGTCATCTTTCATCCCTTCATTTTGTTACTCATGGCCTTACCTCTTTCCTTCCTCCTTCTTCCCCCACTCTTCCCACCGCAGCCTTCTCTAATGCTGTTTTCAGTCCTGTTGCATAAATTTGCTTAGAACAAATAGGGCCAGCTTTTATAAACATGGCTAAAGACATCAAGTCCCATGTATGGAACCAACTCAGAGGAGTGAACGAGTGCAGTTCGAAAGCGTCAACAACAACAACTTTGTCGCAAATTTCACATATAGGGAATTCTGAATGCACGGTATTATGGCGATTTTTGCAGGTGGGTTGTGAGGCTTCAAAGTATCAAAACTGGCACTGGGTAGCATTGCATAAGGAGCTCCCGCAGCCCGCGGAAAGGATTATCGAAAAGTGGACTGCTTAGATTGAATTTGAAACTTAAAGTGTCATATGAATAAATTTTTTAGAACGCGGTAATTTGGTAACGTGGGCATCTCTTCTAAGAGTATTATGGTGAACACGAATAAGCAAAAAATTTTAGAGTTTTTTTGTCAACTTTCAAAAACTATGTTACCCTTTATTAATCAGCAAACTTTCTAACAATTTGTAAAAACAATTCTTGCCAGCCGGTAAATGATATAAAGACATTTAATCAAGATAATAAATGTAAAAAACTAACGTGAACAATATGACTGCAGACTGCATGCGAAGGTAAAAAGAAACAAAACCGCTACAAATGACTGCTCTCATTGAGCTGCGCGCTTGTGTGAGATCAAGATGGTAAAAAAACGGAACTAAAGAAATTAACTCGCTCAACCTACTGTTCCCTTTTAAGCTAGAACTCTTGAGTTTGACATTGCCAGTCGACGACGAGACCATAAACTTAGTTCCCTTGTAAAAGAGAAAGAACAACAAATTCTATCCAAATTGCCAGAGTGACTTAAAAGACTTGGTTATATAAGGGCAGAGATCTGACGAGGTCAAAAAGTGGTGGAAAAGATGTGCCCATGATACTTTAGAACCTTTTACGAAGATGCGAACGAAACAACGCTGATGATGCTCGACTGAAAATATTGGCTATACGACCTTGGTTATAAGTTACAGACAAAGTTTGAGCCAATTCATCAAACTTCTGATTCGCAGCATCTTCCCAATTTTCAGCACTTTTTCCATCCTGACCAGCGGCCTGAATAAATTCTTTAAAAAAAATTATTTAAGTCAACTCTAAGCATTAAAAAAATTATGCTTTGTTGAAAATGATTATAAAAAGCCGGTGGTACTTTTGAAAACTGACTTTTCTACGTAACCAGTCACGAAAAAGACCAGTTTCAATGAACCACTCAATAAACCGCCTTGACGTCTTCGATGGATGGGCCAAAATATATTGAGCTAAAGCAGTCCTTAGTTCTGAAGAATCTTCTCTTATATCGGCAAGATACGCATGCGGTAAATTAAAGGTTTTATAGTGACCTAATAGCGTGGCAAACCAAACAAGCATTGCCTACAAAAATTGGAAGCCGCTGACAATTCAGTTCAAAAACTAAAGAGCGGACAGTTAAACAAGTTACTACAATCTAACAACAAAACTAAGTTGCGATGAAATATAGAAATTTAAACAATATTTTGAATATACCTTCTGAAGCATCTCATCGGCTTTTGGGCCCGGCCCTCCCGCAAGCGCTTCTTTGAAAGAGCTTATAAGAGTACCAGCAAGTTTTTTGGGCAAAAGTAATCTCTCGCAAAGTGCCAAAGCTGACTTCTCCATAAAATCCGGATTTTCAGTAACAACAGACAGTTCAGAAGGATGCGGCACAAAGATACCTCCGTCGAGGTCGACAATAACTACGTCATTCTACAAACTATTGATATCTATTGACTAGTAAGCGAAATATGGAGAGCAAAGCTTTGTTTAACTCGGGAGATTTGGAAAGCATTTATACGTAAACAGTGCTTAATTACTGGATTCCTAAGTTTAAAACAAAAAAAAAAAAGAAAAAAAAATGCCACCTTCAAAAGATCATCAGACTCCGACTTGCGAGTGCCAACCAAAAGTTCTTTCAACTTATGCAAATTAGTTCTGAAAATATTTAAAATCCATGTAAATTAAACGTGCTACATCCCTCTAGGCAATAACGATATGAAAAATTGCTGGGGCTTGTTGTACAAAAAAAGATTAGACTTTCCTACCAAGAAATAAAAATATAAAAAACGAAAGGCATGGTTTCTCAATTTCGTAAAACCATAATTCACATCAGATCTTCAAGTGCAAAAATGAAGAAATTGGTTTGAACATACCGAAGCACACCCAGTAAGCAAGGCGTTGGAGAGTTTGCAAGTTCGAGCAATGTGTCAGGAAGAACAGGTACCAAGGTATACGGCCATGAAAATGGCTGCAGTAAAGCTGCAAAAGTCTGCACGGCGTGGGAAACAGATTTTACCTGTAAGAAAATGATCATGATTATAATTAGTAAGCAATTAGTAAACCCCGATAAAATCTCATCAACTTATCCGACTCGTGTTTGACTTCTGCCACCAAAAAAAGTAGTAAAATTTATCCAAATTAAAACCAGTCTGTGGAATTTAAAAAAACCTGACCGACTCTCCTCCAATTAACACCTTCTGCTCCGACAGCAATGCAGCAATAATACTGACCGACACCTCAATGCCAATTCTTTTGATTACAAAGGAACTATCAGCGCGACCAAATGACGGACCTTGGCTCCTGATAACAAACTGCCGCTTTGTAACTGAACCTGAATTCTCAACAAGACACAAGACAGAACCTAAAAGGATAAGATGGTTTGCAAGAAATAGTTTAAAATTTTAGTGCTACAACACACCAAAGCAAGTTCTACTCAAGTGTAAAAAAAAAAGTAGTTAATAAGGTAAACTGCAAAGAATAAGTATAAATCTATCAATTAAATGGTATTTTGAAAGAAAGGACCAGAGTGTAACAAGCAGAGAAAGAAAGAACCTTTAGAAGGAAACGGTCGATGGAAAACGGCGTCAAGAAAGTTCTTCAGAGTATCCGTCCCTTTATCTATATAGTTGATGCACTCGCGAACTAATGCTGAATAGAACGGTGGTGCATGAATAGGAGATATGATTGCGAACACTTCCGGCAAAAACCCCTCGGTAGAGGTGGTGGCTAAAATAAGATAAGTGAAAACAAGACAAACCATAGAATAAAAGTTGCGTCTCCATAGATTTAACCCAATACTTTTTTCCTAGTTCCGTGCGACATTTTCCCCTAGAAACAAACAGAAAATACAAGAAAACAAGAAGAATGAAAAAATAACGTCTTTGGAACGATTACCTTCGTCAACGTTTTCTTCAGATTTCTGTCTTAGATACTTTATACAGTAAGCAAACGAACTGAAAGTAAAAGTTGTTAAAAACTACAGAAATGTAAAGCAAAGTAGATGAAAAAAGAAAGAAACAACAATGAGACTGACATATCTAAACTATCAAATTTATTTACACCCTGATTAGTATTACTGCCGAAGAAGATGTACCGTTTGCCTAAACCGTCAGTCAATGTTAGCATGAATTCCTCATTGCCGGACCACTGAGATCGATCATCTATTGGCTTGATTCTTGTGAAGTCCGGTATAAACAAATCAGCACAGTCGATGACAGAGTTCGAACTTTGTCTATCGCATTCTTTAAAAAATTTACTGTTATCTATCACTGCCAAAAAGTTGGCTTTATTTTCCAGTTTTTCAAACCCTAGTTGCTACTTTCCGTTCTCAGGGAAAAAAGACCGAAGAGCCGTATTGTTTATCTTTGGATAGCTTGTCAAAGTGAAAAATCTATCTTCTCCTCAAAAAAATCCAATTAAAAGCTTAAACAAAAATAAAAAGAATTAACTTATTATAAGTAAAAGAAACCTTGTTCTGGAAATTTATAGGATACAAATGGCAAGTAAGAACTTTCGACTTCATTATAAAAGATTCCAGGAAAATCATTTCTGAAATTGAACAAACTCTTTTCATTGATGACAGTTGAAAACCTTTAAGAAATTTTAACTGGCAGAAATGTGGGTCATTTTAGTCGACCATAACAAATATCATCTAAGGTCTTATCAAATTTCAAAAAAAAAAGTTTTTTATTGAAACATAATTTTTTGTCCATTAGATTTGTCATTCTCCAATGTTAAGCGATAAGAACGAGTAAATTCATACATATATAATTCTAAAAATACCAACAAGTATTTTGTAAGACAGTAAAAAAAAGTAATAGAAATTCCATAAACTTTGCTACGAGTTTGATGTTGATGGCACGATCGAACAGCTGTGGAGACATGCGCTTACAAAATGCAGCTTCGTTTTCGCTGTAAAGTGCCAAAGTTTTCCGGCGAACAAGCTTTGCTCGAGTTACGCAACGTAGTAATTTAGTGTCTAATCCAGCAGCGTCCGGCTACAGAAAAAATGCTGTGATCTTTGAATAAAAATATAAAATCTGTAAGTTGAAAAAATTGTGCTTAAAATAAGAAGCTCACGTACAGGAATCCGACTAGATCGATGAAAAATAACAAGTAAAATGGAAAATTTTTTAACATACTAATAAGTCAATCAAGCAATTAAGACAAAAAACCTTGCATAAAGTTCAGCTTAAAAATTAGAATTCAGCATTAAAAAAATTACTTTTTCAGTCTCACCAAAGTCCTTGTAACTCCTTGTTCTCATAAGCTTACTCTTTGGAGTCTCACTAACAAAATCGCGTGAGCTATGCGACCTTTCATCACGTCTTCTGAAATGCTTTTAAAAGTACATTGACCAATTTGTTCAACAAACCTCCGGTCCAATCCTTATACATTTTTTGCAACATTAAAAAAAAAAAAAAAAAAAAAAAAAAAAAAAAAA